GCCCTCCAGAGTCATCAACCATGTTCATAGCCACCTTTGAACCCTGGTTCTCTCTCGCAGTTCTCCCTTATTCCTCCTCGGTTGAGTGTGGAGGTTCTCAAAAGGAAGAAAAGTGACCTTTGATTAGCTGATAATTAGAAACAGGATGTGGTTAAAATCCTGGAATTCCTGGCTGATGAATCTTCAGGGGAAACCAACCGAAGATAAGCCCTCAATCTCCAGGGTGTCACAACAGACAGACTAATTCCTGCTGGCTGGAGGGGGTGGTGGGGATGTAGGATGGAGTCATATCTCCTGGGTTTTTATGTCCTGTCATGTTGCTCCTCTGTCTAGGAGAAGGCACGGAAGTTCAGCAGCCTTAAAGCATTAGAATAGAATAACAGAATTGGAAGGGACCTTGGAGGTCTTCTAGTCCAACCCCCTGCCTAGGCGGGAAACCCTACATCACTTCAGACAAATGATTGTCCAACATCTTTTTAAAAACTTCAAAACTCACTTAACAATAACAGAACATGTTAACAACTGTGGCAAGAAAGGGTCAAAATCTAATTTAACAACTGTCTTGCTTACCAACATAAATTGTGGGCTTAACTGTGATCAAGGATTACCTGTATGAGCCACGGCGGCACAGTGGTTAGAGTGCAGTACTGCAGGCTATTTCTGCTGCCTGCTGGCTGCCTGCAATTTGGCAGTTCAAATCCCACCAGGCTCAAGGCTGACTCAGCCTTCTGTCCTTCCGAGGTGGGTAAAATGAGGACTCAGATGGTTGGGGGCAAGAGGCTGACTCTGTCAAGCGCTTAGAGCGGCCTGTAAAGTCTACTATTGCTTGGGAAGGAGAAGTAGGCTGCAGTACTGCATTCTAACCACTGTGCACCATGGAAGGAAGGAAGGAAGCTATTGTGGTGCAGTGGTTAGAATACATTATTGCAGGCTACCTCTGCCTACTGTCAGGAGTTCGATCCTGACCAGTTCAAGGTTGACTCAGCCTTCCATCCTTCTCAGGTGGGTAAAATGAGGACCTACATTGTTGGGGAGCAAGAGGCTGACTCTGTAAATCGCTTAGAGAGGGCTGGAAAGCACTGGGAAGTGGTATATAAGTCTACGTGCTAGTGCTGTATAAGGGAAAGGGTCTCCTGGAGAAATTCCTCTAGGACATTTCTGAGTGAAGGTCTCCTCTTAGCCCCCTTACACAGATTGTTCGATCTGTAGTTGCCACATAGGGAACCCTACTTCAATGGGGAACACCAAGGGTTAATGGAGAAAGATCCAGAATTCTCCCCTGACCAGGAATGAATGACTAAGGTACACTAAAATTCATGTCAGGCCTTCGGATCATTCAGTCCGCAATGTTGGCTACACTTCATGCCTATCCAACACAGAACCAAAATAAAACCTGTCCTTTATGCTCAGGTGGCCATAAGAAAAGAAAACTAATCACAATTTCAAGAACAGGCTCAGAAATGGAACAAAGGAAGGGAGGTTTTTCCACTGACCGAATCCTTGGCACAGCGAAGACGTCGCTGATAAAACTGATTCAGTGGCACAATTAGGATTTGATTACATGGAGTACTTTTGGGGGGGATGGAAATAACGGCATTTTTTCTATTTAAAACACCCGCCTCATGAGCAGCAAAAAAAAATCAGGTAAACGTTACTGGCTGCTTTGCCTTTTGAGCATGACAGTGCAAATATTGGCATAATTTTTGAAAGGCAAAATCAATTAGGCCTCTTTCATTTAAAAAAAAAATGTATTTGTCCAACAGAGAATTCAGAAGTTTTACCTTTAACCACCTGGAACAAAGAATACATTTGTGGAAAATTGTAGAGTGACTTTATGCACGTCTGTATTATCATCATCTCTAAAGCCTGTGAAATTCTTCTTTCTCGTTGTGGGGCAAATTATTAGATTAATCTGACCCGCGTAACTTTCATTACAATTAGTTTTGACCCAAAGAAGAACAATTACAGCATAAAGAGCTTCTTTTTATAGAAAAATAATTCTATTTGTTTTTTTGAAAAGGGAGAAGAACTCGGATATCCACTGACTTGCATTAATCGTATGAAAAAGAGTTTAAAAAACACATTTTGGTTCATAATCTGGATGTCCGAAAGGTTCAAATCCTACAAGGAACTTGCATTCTAAATATAAATGTAAGCAATTGTGTAACTTTATAGTAAGGTAAATAACAATCTTCGCTTTCTCACAGTTCTCTGAGGACGCGCTACCAGGAAGTTTTTTATCTTATTTCATATCTAGGTAGAAAAATAGCTCAGGGTTGTTGTTTTTTCAAATATTGATTTAGAAAAAGCATTAATGTAAATATATTTTAAGGAACTTGTTATTCTTGCTTGATTTATACAGCCACAAAAGTAACAACACATCATACATCTATCTATTCTCTCTGTCTGTCTGTCTCTCACTCTATCTAAAATCTCTCTCTATAATTTTCTTTGTCTCTCTCTTTCTATCCCTGTCTATTTCTATCTATCTATCTATCTATCTATCTATCTATCTATCTATCTATCTATCTATCTATCTATCTATCTATCTATCTATCTACCTACCTACGTACCTACATACCTATCATCTCCGTTTGTCTCTGTCTTCCTATATTGAAATCTTTCTCTCTCTCCACCACCCCCAAACTTATATTTTTTATTAAAAAGCTTAAATCTTTGAACTGGTTCAACGAGAAACATAAGCCACTGGAGGGAACGAAAACTCTTGTATTTTATGAGGGAACAAAAACTCTTTTATTCTACCTGTATTTAGCTACCTAGTTCCCCACATATAAAGGCACATCAAAGATTAACCCTGCAAGATTTAAGGCAGAGATCTTAAGATTCCTTGGGAAAACACCTAGACAGAACCTGAACCTAACCATGGGTAACCTTCCATGGTTAAAAGAACTCGGAAACAACCCTTCCTAATTTAAGGATGACTTGCTTTGAGTCTTAAAAGTTGTTTGAAGGGCCCATTTGCAAACGACTAAAAAATATGACAGTGCTTTGTTCAAAGATCTCTGACCTTTTGTATTTTTTACATCAAGGACTTTATCCAAAATTAACTTGGACAAAATCCAAAGGCTGTCTTTTCAATGAACATAAAAAAAAAAGTCCTACCAGAACTTTTAGGATCTATTTTAAGTCTCTATTACAAAACCATCGCGGTGACGGTCTTCCAATAATTTGTACATTTCAGCACAGCCGGGGACAAATGTTATGTATTACATGGCATTATTCACCGATTTTGCTCCTGTGGTTGATTTATTTTCTTCAATAAAGCCTTTGCTCAAGAATGGAGAGCTGCCTGTCATGATATTAGCAGAAGTAAAAAAAGAATGGCTTGAAATGATCCCACAGGAACGAAGGCAATCTCTCCGCTCCATAGCACGGGGACATCAGCAGAATAATACGTTTATATAAAAATAAATGAGAACATAAGACTCTCTTCGGGTGGCAATGACTAGGGACGTGCCAAAAAATGCTCTTTCCAAAAGGCAACTGGATTTTCTTGGGGTCTTTTGCCCCTTTGAAAACATTTTTAATTTGGAACTTGGATGTTATTCTAGGAACAAAAATGGAAATACACTTTAATTCCTATAACGGACGGATGGCTGCCAAAGTTGATGGAATTAGCAGAGAGGGTTAAACTGACTACATTGATTAAATGAACAAAAACAACACAATTACTTTTATTTGCTACCTGGAAACCACTTCTGGACTTTGTGCTTGAGGTGGGGAAAAAACCCTGAATCTTTGATTTTAGGGTTATACCGATTGGATAGGTTTATTGCTATAGAAACGACTAGTTTATATTATTGTGTCAAAGTAAAAAGTTGAGGTTTGATGCTATTACCTTATTCTACTGCAAAGGCAATTGGAAGTCAACCTCTTTTCTTTCGTTTTTCCCTTTGCCCTATGTTTTCCCCTCCCCTTTTCCCACAATTTTCTTCGGTATATTTTTTGCATTATGTATCATAAACTAATAAAAAGAAAAGAAAAGAAAATGCTTCACTTCTCATTCAAGAAACTTCTTGGGTTCTTTTCTTCTCCTTTAGTTTTTTTTTCCCAAAGGAACCCCCACCCCCCACCAAAAAAAAAAAGTCCAGTTGCTTTTTGGAAAAACACCTTTGGGACAACCATCACCTGGATGACTGAGAATCTCCGTAGACAATGGGGCTAGGAGATAAAATTCTCCTGTTTCAGGTTCTTATCCTGCCTGTTTATCGAAGGGAGTGTTGTGTCCGGGCTGTATAAAGACAAAACATCTGATCTAGCTCTGGGATTCACTCCCATTCAGAAATTTTCATAGATAGGGCATGCCTTCCCTTACAAAAATGAGATCTGTGTGGAAATGACGTCCTTTGTAGGTATACAGTGGAAGGCAATCTGCATATCAGAAAAAAGAAATGAGAATATATTAACCTTCTGAAGGCATGTGTTGTGTTCTCTATCTTGGGATGAAGCGAGTGGTGGGGGAAGAGGTGATGCCAGAGGATTCATGCATCGTGATGAGCTGGATAAAATTCTGCTAGAAGATGCATTATCTCCTATGAAGGAGAATAAAAGAGGAGAGGAGTTTGATTTAATATTGTTAGGTGCCAGGCCAGAAGCTGGGAGACTGTGAATTCTAATTCTACAGTCTCTTTTTTTTGAAAACCTCCAGGGATGGAGTGTCTACAACTTCTGGTGGCAAGTTGTTCCACTGACTAATTGTTCTCACTGCCAGAAAGTTTCTCCTCAATTCCAGGTTGCTTCTCTCCTTGGTGAGTGTCCATCCGTTGCTTCTTGTCCTGCCTGCAGGGGCTTTGGAGAATAGCTTGACCCCTGCTTCTTCTTTGGGGCAGCCTCTCAAACGCTGGAAGACTGCTCTCATGTCACCCCTAGTGTTTCTCTTTGTTAGACTAGACGTTGCCGGTTCAGTCGAGCGTTAAAATGGCAAGATTAGTTCAGTGTCAAGAATCCTGCAATGTATCTGATTTATTTGGCGTACTTACCCAACTCTTTAGACACGGGTGATGCAACGGCAATATCGCCTATTTTTGCAATACCATCATAGTAAGCTCTTCCAGCAAGGACCATACCTAATAAAAAAAAGAGGAGGCAAAAAGAGAAAAAGCTGATAATCATTCTTGAAGGCAATGTATTTAACCATCAATTAAACATCTTATGAGAGCCACTTTGTCGTCGTGCCTAAGTCATCAGGCTAAAAAAAACTAGGAGTTGGTGAGTTCTACTTTTGCCTTAGGCATGAAACCAGTTGGGAGGCCTTGGGCCAATCACCAGGAGCTTGTGAGTTCTAGTCCCACCTTAGGCATAAAAGACAGTTGGATGATTTTGGGCCAGTCACCAGGAGGTTGTGAGTTCCAGTACTGCCTTAGGCATGAAAGCTGATTGGGTGGCTTTGGGCCAGCCACTCTCAGTCAGCCCTAGGAGGGAGGCAATGGCAAACCACTTCTGAAAAAACCTTGCCAAGAAAACTGCAGAGACATAATTGAAAGGGAGAAAATAAAACAATATAGATGACCCAGCCTTCCCCAGATAGGGACGGAGTGGTCATCTATTCTCTTGACTATCAAATTGAAGCTGCCTTCCGAAGTTACATCCCACTTGGTCTACAACTAGTTCCCTCCTCCCCGCAAACTTGGGAACTTGAAAACGGGTGGACTGTAATTCCCAGAATCCCCTTAGCCAGCCTGACATACAATAAAATCAAGGGCTGCCTGCAGAATATTTGACCCAGAATTAAATGGTGGGTTATTGAGCCCCTGAAATGGGCTTCCTTCCCTCATTTAAGTCGCTCGAAATCAAAGCTTAAGTTGGTTAAGGTGGAAGGAATTTAACCCAGTTTACAATCCTAGCACTCCCTTTGCCCTCATTCCGGAATGGAGAACAAACCAATTTGGACGCTGTCGTGTTTGCTAAGCAACGGGTATTTTTTAAACATTTACGAGAAACGGCTCCCACGGAGTAGGAAGTCTATAATTTTCTGATTCAGCCAGAGTGGAGATTTTAATCTTTCTGGACGAAGGGTCTAGTTCTGCTTCACATTGAAGCTGAAACCAGTTCAATGTTTTAATGAAGCCAGAGTACAACTTGGTTTTCCTCTGTTCATTATTTCCATATCACGACTGCACAGGAGATGTTAATTTATTAGAATCATATCTTGCCTTGTTAGTTCAGGATCTCAGCTGCTTCCTCTTATTGGGTCTGCCATCAATAAGCCTGGGAGATAAGCTGGACAGAGGGAAGGTTCTATAGGTCAGGGGTCGCCAACCTTTTGGACCTCAGGTTTGGACCACCAAACTCATAATTTTAAATCCCACTTGGACCACTGGTATGAATTTTGACTGACGGTGGCTTGCTGACGTCGGTGGGAAAGTCGGTGCCATATTCCAGAGCTGCACTAGTCACAGGACTGGCTATTTGGTCATCCCGGAGTAGCTACTCCTCCACCCAGGTGCACCGGCCTGCCATGGACTGGAGGAGCTGCTCTGGGATGACCAAAGGGCCAGTCCTGTGACCGCTGCAGCTCTGGAATAGGGGACCGACTTTCCCACCAACAAGCCACCCCGGGGCGGATTTCCCTCACCTGGTCTCACCTTCCAGTTCCAGCTTGCATGACTACTCAAGGTAAGGTTTGTGCTAAGCTGAAGGGTGGGCAGGCCATGTGGGTGGTGCAGCCTTGTGTTCCCGCACAGCCTGGATTAATTGCTTTGGGGTGGGGGGGACATTTCTCTGTGGACGACCAAAATTTTCTTGCGGACCACCATTGGTTGGCAACCACTGCTATAGGTAGTCCCTGACTTACAGCCCCTCATTTAGTGGCCAAAGTTACAACGGCACCGAAAAAAACCTGACTTACAACTGAACCTCGCATTGCCAACTGAGCATCCCCCACAGCCACGTGATCAAAGGCAGAATCATACACATTTCATAGACCATCCCAAAGTTACTCTAGCCGAGAGAGAAATGCAGATGGACATCGACTTATAGCCGTTCATTGAAGGACGGTTTCGAAGTTATGACAGCCTTGGGGCAAAAATGATTTATGACCTGACAACCAGCAGATCAACTTGGTGGTCACGTGATTGCAATTTGTGGGTTTTGGCACCCGGCTCACATTTGTAACTGCTTCCTGCGTCCTGCAGTGATCCGGTTGTCATTTCTATGGCAAGAATAATTCTGCAACAATAACTACAAGAAGAATTCTGCTCTTCTAGCCTTAATCTTCCGAGCCAGATGCTGACAAAAAAAGTAAGTTGGGGAAGTTAGGTTCGCTTAATAGTCACGTGATTGGCTTAGCAACTGTAGAGATTAAAAACCCAGTGGTGGGATTCAGCCAGTTTGCACTGGTTCAGAAGAACGGGTTGTTAACTTTCTGAGCAGTTTGGTGAACTGCTTGTTGGAAGAAATCATTAGGGCAGAGAACCGGTTGTTAAATTATTTGAATCCCACCACTGTAAAAACCGGTGTTAAAATGGCCATAAAATTTGGCCCAGACATGTGACATGACCATTCCAATTGTGGTCACAAGTTGAGGACTCTAGTCGAGACCGTTCAGACTGCTATGGATGTCTTACCAAAAAGCCGAAGGCATACAGATAATTTATTTGCATAGGATGCATAAATACCCTGCATTATAGTTAAATAATGCAATTGGCAGGGCTTTCTTTCAGCAAAGCACGTTGTTAAATTAATGGATGTAAATGGAGATTTCTAAGGCTTCTTTCATCCGTCTCCATCAGGTTTTAATTTGCTACTTTCCAAAAAAAGCTACTTGAATGGAAAAATATGTCTCGCAGGCCGACTGGAGGAGAGCCCACGTATGTAACATCTGACAAGTTGCCTTTAAAGTCCTGAATTGCCAAAAAGAATAATCTAAAATTACGTGTGTCCCAAACAAGACCATCGTCTCTAGGAATAGACTGCCTTTTGATACGATGCCAGAGTGGGCTAACTTCAGTGATCAGCCAGGAAATGGGAATTCCCCCACCTACCCACCCCTTTCTCCTTTTTCCTGCAGCCCCTTGCGGAGCAAATGGATTCCAAATAAAAAGAGAAATTGGAATCTAACTGTTGGATCTAATTCTTGGTCTCACGAGCAGAACGGAAATAAGCTTCAAAACAAGTCAAACCGGCAAAAGTTTAGGGATCTACTAGAGTGGTTAAGAGGCTGGCCTAGAAACCAGGAGACGGTGAGTTCTAGTCCCGCCTTAGATATGAATGCCAGCTGGGTGACTCTGGGGCAATCACCAGGAGACGCTGAGTTCTAGTCCTGCCTTAGACATGAAAGTTGTCTGGGTGACTTTGGGCCAATCACCAGGAGACGCTGAGTTCTATTTCTACCTTAGGTATGAAAGCCAGCTGGGTGACTTCGGGTCACTGATTCTCTCAGCCCGACCCACTCCGCAGGCTTGTTGTGAGGAAAAATAGGAAGAAGGCGTATGATATATGTTCACTGCCTTCAATTATTTATAAAACTAGCTCGATACCCGTGCTTCGCTACGAAACTATGTGACCGGGCTTAGTTTTGAGGGAGGAAAATAAGGGGAAAAAATTCTGCCTCTGCCCACCAGCGTCCATCGGTATTCATCTGGCTAGCGTCCTGGCAGTGTGTGAGAGAGTTGAGGGCTGTTTGGAAACTGAAACGGTATTTGCTGTGTGAGCAAGGAGACAGCAAGGAACCTGGGCGTGGCTTAGTAGCTCTGGTTTGCTTTTGTTTATTTAAAATTGACTGCAGAACGACTTTGGATCCCTGACAATAAATAAATAAGATTCCAATAAGATCAGCAATGACTCATCTTGAGGTCAGCAAGCTGTCCCTTTGCAACACCGGCTCATCCAGCTGTGCAGCCCATAAAATTTCTTCAGCTGCTGATGCGTCAAGGTTTTCCAATCACACAGGGTGGTGGCGGTGGGGAAAGGCTTTTGCTAACATTTCATAGCTGGTCACCTGGATGCTTTTCTCATTTTTAACCTTCCCAGTTGGCTTCCATCAATTGATTTAACGATGGTGTGTTTCACTTACCAACTGCAAAGATTTGCTTAACAACCATGGCAAAAAAAAAAAAAGTTAAAACGGGGCTCACTTAGCAACTGCTTTGCTTAAGCAATGGAAATTTGGCGGCTCAAATTGTGTCGGTAATTCAAGGACTGCTTCTCTTGTCGTGAATAAAAATGTATAAAAACGAGATCTTTCTGACTTGGAATGGGTAGCGCACAGATCCCTGGCCAAAAACCTAATTCGGTCTAATTTGCCCCGTTCTTTTCTTCCCAAGCAGCCTTGGGGAGCTTGTCCAAATCGTTTGATCAAAAGAAACCCCTGGATTATAAATTCAGGGAAGAGAAGATTCCGAAAAGTAAAATCAGGTTGTATTGAGAAAAGAGGGAGAACTTAAGATAAACGCTTAAAAGTATCCGGATCTTTAGCCTGGTTCCTAGGAGTAGCAGTTAATTATATCAGTAGTTAGTTGATATTTTGGGGAAGGGGGGATACAGGTAAGCCTCGACTTGCAACAGGTCTTTTAGCGCCCAAAGTTACAACGGCACCGAACAGAGTGGATTTTTTTTTTCCAGTGCCGTGGTGACTTTGAACAGTAACTAAGCCACGAACAAAGGGGACTTATGACCGTGTTTCACACTTACGGCCATTGCAGCGTCTTGTTGGTTACATGATCGAAATTCAGACAATTGGCAACCGATTCATATTTATGACAGTTGCAGTGTGTCACGTCCGTCAGAATCTGGTTCGGAGGGGGAGGCAGAACAGCTGACAGGGAGTGGGAGTGTGGCTCCGTTGGCTGTGGAAGAAACTGGGGAAGGGCAAAGTCTGGCTGGGCAGAGCAGGGGAGAGGTAGAACAAGGGAGAGGAAGACCCAGGCCCACCCCCTCTTCATCCTAGGGTACTCAGGGAGGAATGGGGAAAAACGTAGGTTGCATGGCTTACGGGGGAGGAAAGGGCCCTGATTCCTTTCATTAGCCACAGCTGGGAAGACAGTTAATAAGAAAGGCAGGCTGCTGGTAGCAAGTGTGACTTTACTTTGTATCGTCGTGGCTTATTTGTGTTCCTGGCGTCTTCCCAACCGTGTGAGTTTTGCTGTGCTTTCAAGTCTAAAATTCCTTCTCCTGCCCTGTCAAGCTAATTACTTTCAGCTTGGTTTGTTTGGATTTTAAGTTACAGTTTGTGTGTACCTTGTTTTGGACTTAATTTCCTCCACTTAAAGGCTGTTCCTGGGAGAGTTTTTCCTCTAGCCGAAGGTAACCTGGACATTGGGGGCAAAGTTAGAGCTAATAAAGGGACTCTTCTTGCTTATGTGACTGTGTTGCCTTTGTGCCACACCCCTTTGGGTCATCACATAGTGTCCTGGGGTCACGTGATCTCCTTTTGAGGCTTTCTGATGAGCCAAGTCAATGGGGGAAGCCAGATTCACTTAGCAACTGTATGACTTTTTAAACAACTGCAGGGAATCCCTTAACGACTGCAAGAAAGGTCGTAAAACGGGTCAAAACTCACTTAACAGCTGTCTCCCTTTGCAACAGAAATCTTGGGCTCAGTTGTGGTCATAAGTCAAGGAGTACCTGTATTTCACTGCAAGGCAGCTATTGGATTTTCAAAGGCAAAATTAAAAAGTTTGACTAGACAACTTAAACGTGAGACTTACTGTTAACAGCTTTTTCATAGTTTTTCCCCAGGTTTATTAAATTCCGCAGCCCTGGATTGAATTGTTCCATAACATTCTGTGGAGCAACAACAACAACAAAAGTAAAATGAGAGACAGAGTGAAAGTCTTTCCTTAAATTAACACAAAATTCTAGCTATTCATCCCTCTGTCATTTAACCTTTAAAAACGCTTGTAGACTTTTGACCCAAGGGCCTTTCAGGCTTGCTAAAAAAATGGTTTCAGACTCAGGAAAAAAAAAGCATTGCTTCGTGTTTTGACATTTATGTATTTATAAATTGGGTGGCCTGCTTTTCATTACAATCACCCCAAAATGTGATATCCAGCCCTACAAGATGGCATGAGGCAAAAACCTTTGATCAAGACAGAAAGAATATAAATATGTTATTTTTATATATAAGACATAAGAATTTATTTGTCATTACACTCGCAAGCGGGTGCAACGAGATGAGGTGCTCTTCCACAAGTAAAACTGGACAACACCATTGAAAGAAAAATAAAACTAAACACAACAGACCATACAATAATCTCTATACAATTTAAAAATGTAAATACCCCATTACTCTCAGCCATTAAATTCCACAAAAATCTTATGACCCTGCATTCAAACTCAAAACTGCACTTGGATAAAAACTGTTCTTAAATCTAGTCGTCCTTGTTCTTAATACCCTGAATCTCCTTCTCGATGGTAATAGTTCAAAGAGCTGATGTCCCGGATGAGAGGAGTCATTCAATATATTAAATATCTTCCTCTTACATCTATTCCTATACAGTTCTTCCAAAGAGGGGAGTGTGCAGCCAATGATGTTTTGGGCCATCTTAATCACCCTCTGAATTGCCTTTTTCTCTGCCACTGTGCATATACATGTACATATACATACACATACATACATACATACATACATACATATGCTTTCCATTTGCATATATATCCATTTGCAACAGGCACGTGATTACTAAACAACAGATCAGTGCATATAAATTAAAATAAACTCAATTTCAGGAATTAAGTCCGTTGTTTTCCCATGACCTATTCCCACAAAAGTTTGCCCCAAGTGTTGGCTTTGGTTAAGACAGTCTGTGTTTCTCCTAACTAATTAATCTTAAGCTTAAGTGCAATAATAAACAGACAATGCTGACTCCGCAGAGGAAGGATATTTTCTGAATCTGGTTTGTCAACTTGCTCACGTACTTAGCAAGAAGCCAGGATGAACCTCAATCCGAGTGTGATTAAAATCTTTCCAACAGTAGGAAGTTGCAAGGGACTTCAGATTAATTTTTTACCAGACTATTTCAGAATACGTATTTCCTGATTGTTTTTGTTTTAAATAAAAATTAAAAACTTGCAAAGTATGCTTTTGAAGCAAAGAACTATCGTGTTACTTTAAACGTAATCCTTTACACGGTGAAAAAAAAACCACACACATCGAAATATCCACACAGATACATCTGTGACCTGATATGTTTTTAAAAGAAAATTAACAGCTTTAAAATGAAAACAGTTTACGTAAATTAAGGAAGAAGACAAAGGTTGCAATAGGTATAAACATAAACAGAGTTGGCAAAACGGATTTAATGTAATCTGATTCCGCCCAGCTTCACGTAGGATAGCACTGCAGTTCCTAGACTTTATAGCTACAAAGATGATCTTGCAAACCCTTATAATTTTAGGAAATGTAGTTCCAAATCTGTGAACAAGCATTTAATATTACAATTCCTCTTAAAATAGCAAGCCTGGAAGGAGCTGGGTATTTCCATCAGCTCTTCCTACTCTTTGTGCGGCCATAAAGTTGATCTTAAACCACTCACTCCTACGCAGCGGGCATGAAAAGTGCAACAGGGTGAAAGTATTTTTTTACAGAAACCCTTCCTTGTTGCACTCAACTCACACACCTTCCGGCATGAGGCATCTGGAGGAGTCAAACGTTTCGTCAACCACGTTCTTCAACCTTGGCAATGTGAAGATGTATGGACTTCAACTCCTAGGATTCCCCAGCCAGCCATGGGGAATTCTGGGACTTAAAGTCCACCCATCTCCATGTTGCCCAGGCTGAGGGAAACAAGGTAGAATAACAGAGTGGGAAGGGACTTTGGAGGTCTTCTAGTCCAACCCCACCCCACCAAGCAGGAGACCCTACACCATTTCTGACAGACGGCAGTCCAGTCTCTTCTTGAAAGCTTCCAGGGATGTAGCTCCCACAACCTGTGAAGGATTTCCACTGGTTAATTGTTCTAACTGTCAGGAAATTTCTCCTTAGTTCTAGGTTGCTTCTCTCCTTGATGAGTTTCCACCCATTGCTTCTTGTCCTGCCTTCAGGGGCTTTGAAGAATAGCTTGACTCCCTCTTCTTTGGGGCAGCCCCTGAGATCTTGGAAGACTGCTAACACTACTCTACACCATTTCTCTGTTACATCATGCATACCTGAACAGGATGTCTTCTCTTAGCCAACCCTATTTCACAGCGACTGTTCTGAGTTTTGCTGGGTAAACACAGATCTTGGCTCGGCCTTGAGCCCAGGGACGAAAAAACTGGCATAAATCCCTCTGGGTAAATACCATAGAAGACGGCAAAGTAACCTTTTGAATGGTCTTGAGGACTTTGGCCTCTCGTTCAAGTTGGATCAAGCCGCTGTTGTGAAGAGGCCAACTTGACAGAAGTCCACTCTGCACCTTCATTTGTGAAAGTGTAAACAGAGAGCGGAGGTGGCAATTTGATTTGATTTTTCACACACTCACCTGGATGAAATAATAACACACACAAGGGGTGACATGATAGCAGTCTTCCAATATCTCAGAGGCTGCCACAAAGAAACGGGAGTCAACCTATTCCCAAAAGCCCCTGAAGGCAAGACAAGAAGCAATGGATGGAAACTACTCAAGGAGAGAAGCGACTTAGAAATAAGGAGAAATTTCCTGACAGTTACAACAATGACTCAGTGGAACAACTTGCCTCCAGAAGTTGTGAATGCTCCAACACTGGAAGTTTTTTAAAAATACGTTGGATAACCATTTGTCTGAAGTGGTGTAAGACTTCCTGTCTAAGCAGGGGGTTGGACTAGAAGACCTCCAAGGTCCCTTCCAACTCTGCTGTTCTACTCTACTCTACTCTACTCTACTCTACTCTACTCTACTCTACTCTACTCTACTCTACTCTATTCTACTCTACTCTTTATTCCATTCCATTCCATTCCATTCCAGGCACTGGAAAAATAATGCAAGGGCTTGCCTTTCTGGTCACCATTACAATACGGAGTCTGGCCCATAAGATTTAAAAATAATACATGGAAATTTTACTTTATAGGTAGTGCTCAACTTACAGCAGTGTAAGTGACCGTTTGAAGTTATAGCGGCACTGGAAAAAAAGCGACTGATGACCATGTTTCACATTTACGACCATTGCGGCGTCCCTGTGCTCCCATGATCACAATTCAGATGCTTGGCAACTGAGTCACAGTTATGACGGTTGCAATGTCCCAGGGTTATGTCATCCCCTGTGGCAACCTTCTGACAAGTCCATGGGGAAGCCAGATTCACTTAACAACCGGGTTATTAACTTAACAGCTGCAGTGATTCCCATAACAACAGAGGCAAGAAAGGTTGTTAAATGGGGCAAAATTCACTTAACAACCATCTCATTTAGCAACATAAAATTTGGGCCCAGTTGTGGTCGTAAGTCGAGGAGTGCCTTTCTTCTAAACACGAATAACAATATGGACAACTGATTTTGCTGCAAGGCATTTGCCTCAAAATATTATATTTAGTTATGATTATAGGTAATGCCTGGTCTTAATGTAGAGCCTTCTTATAAAACGGAAAGGATCAGGATGAGCTTAATTTTTAGATGGTGAGGTAAACCTGATATATACACAAGTTCAGTTTATACATTAAAGGGTTCTTCTGCTCTTTTGAGTACTGTATTAGAGAGGGTTTTGCTGTTCAAACAGAAATCCCTCTCTGAAAACTTCACCTTTGTTCCTTAAGACGTGACACACACCCCTGAAATGAGAGTTGCTAGCTACCTCTTGACAGCAACCTGGGAGGCCTGAGGTTGCTAGTTTTAAATTCAGTTCGGAAACCTTACAATAGCCTTAACTAAACAGATTCACTCATTCAATTCATTCATTTTTTTTTAAAGTTTGCAACAAGGCAATACTGAATTAAATACTGAATTAAATTAAGACCCCTGATCTAATGATACCGTGTCTTTAAGGTTCCCCCCCCCCTCTCCTTCTGTTCCATATTGGGCCCAGTTCTTGGACCCTCCCTGGACTGGTCAATTTTCTTGGCAAATTTTTTTTTGGAAACAGTTTGCCGTTGCCTCCTTCTTAGGGCTGAGAGAAGGTGGCTGGCCCAAGGTCACCTAGCTGGCTTTGTGTCCTAGGCAGAACTATAACTCTTGGTCCCCCAGTTTCCAGCCTGATGCCTTAACCCCTGCACAAGGGGTGCCCAACCTTGGCCACTTTAAGATCAGTGGAAATATTCTGTGTTTACTCTTCGCTTGGCGACTCCTCTCTCCTTACAGAGGCCAAGTGCCAGTTGCTTTAACACGTGGTCCCTTTTATTGGCTTCATATCAGAAGATATTTATTCCTGTTGCACAATATTCTTCACACATACTTTGAAAAGAATGAAAATATGTATAGAGGGGAATTTGAAACTTGTTGCGTTGAGTTTCCTGAGAACTATTGGGGGGCCTGTTTTGTTTATCCTAGTTCACCACAATGCAGTGTTTCTTACCTTGGTAACTTTAAGATTTGTGGATTTTGACTCCCAGAATTCCCTAGCCAGGCTGGGGAATGCTGGGAGTTGAAGTCCACAAATGGCTGGCTGGCCAATTCTGGGAGTTGAAATCCACTGATCTTAAAGTGGCCAAGGTTGGGCACCCCTTGTGCAGGGGTTAAGGCATCAGGCTGGAAACTGGGGGACCAAAAGTTATAGGTTAGGTTTTTAAGTTCTTGGCGCCTCCAGCCAACCCCCCCCCCCCTAAAAAATATCTAGAGATCCTGACATCTGACAGGTATCTGAAGCACCCTTCAAAATGACCTTGATTATGTGCCAG